AGGAAATGGTACCCTAGGCCGGCGTGTGGCACCGCTGTCCGTCAGTACGCATATCCATAAGTGTGTGTCGTCGCATTCGTTGTGTGGATGTGGCTGGTGTGGCCTGTCAAGCTCAAGGCAAGGGGGACAGACTTGTGCACACACGTGTGACACATGTGTGCGTTTGCAGAAAAATTGACCTACTTGCAAGGCAAAAGAGTCTTTCAAAGCTTCTCGATCGGTTTGAGGTAAGGCCAGTGCCATTATTGCTTGGGAGTCATCTCCATGCATGAATCTCGTCAAGGTCAGCATCGATGAAGAGATGCCTGTCACCAGCTGCGAACGTCCACTTCAACATGCAGCCTGAAACAGCGATGTCATTTCGCAGCACTGCTTGCATAGCGGAAGAACAGTGGACCTAAGCTGGTCTGCAACCTTTCCCTGATTCTTTCCTGAGTCTCATGCTAGGACATTTTAGAGTCATGGCATTGCCGCCTTTGAAGCGTTCTTGTGCGTCTTTTGCATCATCTGAAGCTTCGGAGCTGAACTGCTGGAATCCAATCCTGAGAAAGCAAATCTTTAGCGCGGTTGGATTGGTTTTCCTGAGAAATTAGAACCTGCCTACACGAAAAAGCTCCAAGTTCAGCTGATTCAAGTATCCGCAATGCCAATGTTCTTTTGATTTATCAGGTGTTTGAGGAAGCGGCAACTCACAGCAAAATATTGCAAAAACGTAGAGGTTGAAGACAATGAGGCTCATGGCTGCCAAGCAAGTTTGCTCGAGGAAAAGGCATCATATCATTGTATCAGTTGAGAAGGATTGTCAGTTCAACAGTTTGAGCTGAGCAGGGTTTGTGACTATTCCTGCCTGCAAAAAGAGTACCGCCACTGCTCACCAGACCACGCACAAGTCTCAGGTCAGTGCAACACATCCCAGCAAAGCGGGAACACCAAATCCTCTCGGCGCATGGCTTCCACAGGTCTTCGAAGTAAGACACGTGTTTGAAGGTCTTGACCTTCGAGGGCTTCGAGCTGCTGATTTCTGCGTCCAAATAGTTTGTCTCAACTGAAGCAAGCAACTGGTGTAGGCTTACAGCTACAAATATGGTTTGTTGCTCAGGATCCAAAACCGAAATTGGAACTGGCAGGCTGAAGGCAAGAATTAGCACAACCACCCTTTCAACCATTTGAGCGTACAGAAACCACAGGCTCTGGATAAATTTAAGTTTGAATGTACAGAATGTGCTGTTGCTGAGGCTCTGGCCAGCTGAACAAATCGAAGCATGCGAGCAATGCGAAAAAATTTGAAGGGATCACTCCTTGGCGTGAAAATCCGCTTACAAAGCCTGGATGGAAGAAACCTAACAAGTCGAAGTATGGGCGTAAGGCATCGATGGGTCAACCTGCATTGGCTGCATGACCTGCCAAGGAAACTTACCTCGTCGGCCACGTCAAGGCTTCACTAGGCAAGCGGACATCTCAATTGAAAGTGCAACATCCATGGACATGTGCATGTCTCGTGCATGTCTTACGCCGCATGTCTGGTGCACGTCTCGTGCATCTGGCATGCATGTTGCATGCCCTGCATCTGCCGCAAGTGCACTCAAACGCGCCAGGACAGCCCACACAACGATGACTCCAGGACACCACACAATGAAGGTGTCCAGCCAAGGTCCGAACTCCTGCAGGACGGTTCTCATGGAATTGCTTCAATCAACCCTGTGTGGTTTCCGCTGGCAGCGCTTGAAAGTCAGTCCTTGAACCATTTCCACCCAAAGGCAATCACACGCAAGCACCACTCGAATAAAAAGAAGGCAGTGACCTGAAACGTGCTAGAAAGAAGAAAGGCAGCTAGAAAGACGCAAAAGTTCTGTCCTTCTCTTCCCAGTCTTCCGGCTTCCCAAGTGCACTTTGCAGTTATTGTTTGAACCATGTTTGACATGTTCTTTCCGTCTTTTCAAAGCTTTTTGATCAGAAGCCCACCTAGCTAAGTGAGAGGAGAGCGGCTACGTAACAATGGCCTACGGGTTATTCAAGGAAGCCTGCGCTGGAAAACTCTGCGTATCCTCGGCTCGCGTCGCTCGTTGTTCCTCAGCTCCTCACAGAGCTCTCTGAAAACTGGATGAAAAATGGCGCATCCACTGCGTCGGTCTGCAAACAAATCACCTTTCTAAGCAGGAATCAACAGAACTGCGAGGACCGCGAGAAGAAAGGTTGAAGAAAATGGCATGGAAATGATGGAAACACGAGTCACTATAGTAGTGCTTCTGAATGAACTTCTGAAGTGTCAAAACTACTTAAAATGACTGAATCCAAAGGTGCTTCACCTCTGACAAATAAGTGGCTGGCAACCACGCTGTAGAAGATCGCGCATCCACATGCTATCTCAAATTCTTGAGAGCAAACAAAGACCTTATCTCTTCAAATTCGTTGACAGAATGCTCGATACAGAAACAAAAAAACTTGTAACACAAGTCCTGGGCGGTTAGTGCTCCCTTTTTCTCTTCCTCCTCCACGGATGAGATTGAAGGATACGAGGGAAGTCTCTGCACGTATATACACCACACTTGACTTGGAGGTCTTCAACAAGCAATGCAGTACAAATGAGTTGAATGGGTCCTTACTTACAGTTCTTGATGGTCCCAAGTTTCACTGCTGGATTTCAGGGAGCCCTCACGACCTTGCAGCGCTGACTCCCCTGTCCTCTGACTTTTGTGTGTGCTCATTGGTGGTCTCAGCCTTGAGTAAATCTCATCTCAGAAATTGTTTACGGCTGAAATTTGTTTGTCAAAAAATGGCAGTCTAAAATTGCCTACCCTGAACTGACCACTGAAATCGTTGATGGCCCAAAAGAATTCAAACAATCAAAGGAGTAAAGGAATCTGTTGTTGAAATTGCATAATCACGCAAGCCATCTTGGCTCAACGGCCAAAGATTTCTCGCGTGGCTTCTCACTGTCCTGGAAAAGACACTTGTGGTCCATGAGGCCGTCGACCTTTTTCTTCTTTGCCAAACAAAGACCCGTCTTCCTATTTGTTCTCAGCAACTGTCCCGGGCCTGTAGAGCCACTTCGACCTTGGACAGTGCACTTGCCAAACAGGCACTCTCCGAGTGTTGGAGTTCAAGCATCTGACATGTTCAGGTGCCACACTCGAAGGATTCCTGCACATCGGAAGACCCGGATCAAAGCATACA